AAAAAAAAAAAAAGAAATCCACTAATGAGGAATACACACTCCCCGCGGGAGAATTCACACTCCTGAAGAGGAGAAAAAAAACAATAACGCACACAAACAACACTAACAATACACAACAGAAATAAACCTAACACAAAGCAACACTAACAACACAACAAAAAACACAAGAACACAAACAACTACAACTACCCTTCCTGCAACAAGAAGACGAATCAACCGGATCGATAGCGACACCAACCGACATTCATCCACACGGAAAGAGTTATGATCCAGGAATCAGGGCCGGCCCTGGCCCAGGGCGACCTGGGCAATGGCCCAGGGCCCAACTTGATAAAAGGGCCCAATAATAAGAAAATGTCTATTTAATTTTTCAAGCTGTTTCTATTTATATTGTTGTCTATTAGAAATTTATTGAGAAAATTACTCCTTCAACGACCTAAAACTGTCTTTATTGCATATGTACAGAAACTAATATTTTATTAGCAAAACTAGAAAACTTATCTTAAAAATTTGCCCATTTACGACATCTATTGATATTTTAGATTTAACTTTTTTTTTAAACAGTTTTGATAAGGTAGGTTCTACATTATGGGATAATGGCCGATATTATTGGGATTAGTATTTTCTCACACGCCATCTCTCTTTCCACATTCAGTTTTCTTCTTCACGCCATTGTTCAGAACCTCCAAATTCTCTCTCTTTTTTTTTTCCATCACCAAACCACCCGCCAACACAATTTTCCATATTAACCTCAAAGGCGGAATCAATAAACAGTAATGAAATCATATTGTCTCATTACACTCGGCCTGAGATACAAGTGTTTCTTGTTCTGCATCACTCCGACTAGTAAAAAAAATACAAGAAAAATAGATAGATTATATATTCACGATTATGTCCTAAAATTTTCCGTCAACATCAAAAGTTCCAACAATTAATGGCGTGGACAGAAAGAGGCCGACGGATGCACTTTGGCGGGGCAACGTCAATCTCTTGGATTGAACATCCAATATTTGCACAGCGAGCGGCGGACAGTCGGTGGCCGTCTGGTATAGCGATTCGAGCCGAAGGGTCGACTGGACGATGGCCACCTGGGTTGAGCACCAACTATGCGTGTGGAGCGGTTAGTGAAGGGACGACCATAGGGATTTCAGTTGAGGACAATAGTCGGCTTTTTTGGATTCATTGTTCTGCATGTACGATGATGTGTACAACGGCTTGTGAATATAGACAATATGTATTTCGATCGAGGATGGTAGTCGGCCTTTTCAAACTCATTTGTTCCGCCTGGATTGATTGCTGAGTATATAGACAGTATATTTTCCGTTTATACACAGTTTATGTTTTGTATATTAGAACATTTTACGGATACATACAAATGAGCAATTTGTTGTTTTTGGTTGATTATTGGTTATTTTTCATAATTATGTATATGTTGTGTTTATATACAGTATATTTTCTGTATATGTTGTATTTTTAAACATTTTATTTAGGCTTTCGAAGATATTGAAATATTGATAATAATACATAAATTGATCATATACCAAACATAAACTATTTAACTAATTATAATAGTACCGATCATATCTCAAATACTCAGAATATACAATACATTAACAACCATACACCACCAAAAAATAGCAAAGTTTTTATTTAAAAAACACTATAAATTGCACATTCATATCGACAAAACATATACAGAAAATATACAATACATAAAATGATCATATACCAAACATAAAATACTAATAAAAGTTAGATAAATATTAATTCGGCTAATGATTTAAACTCATCGAATCGAATCAAAGATCTAGATTAAGACCCGAAACCACAACCATAACCATCAAGTGTCCGTCGGATCTTAATGAGCGCACTCCTCTTCAGCAACCTCTGTCTCTTGCTCTCTGCCCGAATCTCATCGATCGTAGCTCGGACACGGCTTAGATCGGCGGCGAGCCTGTCGAGGGGCCAAAAGCGTAGCCCGAAGCTCATCAATGAAACTGATGTTTATTACTTTTTTTTTCTCGGTTATGGAGAAACATAATTCATTTTTTCTTTTAATTAATGAAGGAATTGACGGAATATAAATGGTACATAAACATAACATAAACGGAATATAAACGTCACAATATTAAAATAAATATTTTAAAAAATGTATCTATATACTACACATAAACAAAATGTAACCGGTAAATAAACGGAATCCTAGGGAAGCAGCCGCTCGCCTATGAGTTTTATGAGTGGCCGCAATCCGCCATAAATCTGAGATACCGTCTGGTCGTAGTCATGCCGCAAATTGCCGCCTTCGATCTACATCCATTGATTTTTTACCATCACTAGTCACGTTCAGATTTTCGGTTGGACTCCTCCAATATATGCTTGCCGCTCATCGCCTTCCAGTCTCCACCGCCATTAACCCAAAACCGCGGGCTTTATCGCAGTGAGTCATCTGTCCAATCCCAATTGCTCAGTTGACCTTGCTGCACATCTCCATCAACGGTAATCGACGCTGAGCCTCTCTAATATCTCGTTGCCAACACTTCCTATTTTGGCGGCCTTGAAAAGGGAATGGGAGTAATACAACAAAATAATGGAGAATTTTTTAGTGAATCATTGTGTGTGCAGTGCGTGAGGATGAAAGTGAGATTTAAGGATTTTGTGTGTGATAATGTGTGGATCACAATATTAATTTTCTTAATTAATTACACATCATCATATCTGCAATTTTAGTGGGTGTGGCGTTTTTTTTTTTTTTGTAGCAAAGAGATTTAGGTATACGTTCAATTATTTATCACCAATCCGGTATTGATGCAAATATTTTTTTTAAACGTATATCTGCAATTATTTTACTTTAAGATGAGTATGTGTGTAAATTCGCCCCAAACGTTTTGTATTATTTTTCTTCAAATAAATAAGAGGCCCACTTAAATATTTAATATTTTGTAATTATTTCTTCTCCATTGAGTTATGCATATGGGAGCTGTAGATTCTTCCTTTGGGAGCCAAATTCTCTCGTTGAGAGCCCGATTATCTTGCTGAGATCCTGAATTCTTCCTTTGGGAGCTGGTTATCATTCAGTTCCCTGCCTATTTTGTTCTATCGTGAGTGTTTTCTTTTGTTCTTTTGAGTGTTTTGGTTCTAGGGTTTGTTGAATTGGGGATTTTGGTTTCTGTGATGGGAGATTCCAGTGGAGGGAAGGAGATTGGGTGTGACTTGGGGGGAGAAGTGTTGAGGAAACTTCACGCTTGTTCGATGTCCGAAAAAGAGACGGGAGGCGTTGAGTTGAGAACAAATGATGTCAAAGCAGGTGATGAAGAATGTGAGCGGAGTTTGTTTGGCAAAATAGTGGGAGACAGGCCTGCAAATATTATGGGTGTCAAGAGGATGATGAGTAACATTTGGAAGTTGCAGCAGGCGATGGAGGTTAAGGAGATTAGTTCTAACTATTTCCAATTTCTTTTTACATCCATGGACGACAAAGCGAAGGTGGTGGCGGGGAATAACTGGTTATTTGAAAACCAGTATCTTATTTTAACGGAATGGTTTGAGGGACTGCACAACACTCACCCGTGTTTTGACGAAATTAACATATGGGTTCAAGTGCAAAATGTGCCTCTGAATTGGATGTGTACGGAGGTGGGCATGAGAATAGGCCAGATATTCAATAAAGTGAAGAACATGGTCATCTGCAAAGTGGGAGGAGAAGTAGGGAGCTTTATTAAAATCCTTGTTGGCCTTAATCTTAAGGAACCTATTCCCAGGTGCACAGTAGTGAAGTTGGGAGATACGCGCACAATGGTGATTTTTAGATATGAGAGATTAGTGAATTTGTGCTATTACTATGGGATGATCGGCCACCTGGATAGAGGTTGTAATCGCAGAGCGGAGGACATTGAGAAAGGCAAGCCAATAGAAGGTCAATTTGGAGAGTGGCTTAAGGCAAAGGAGACCTACCATGGTGGGAGAACCTTTCAGGCCAGCAGTTCAGAAGATAGAAGTGTCCCTCCTCAGCAAAATTCAAATCAAGTATCTATTGTGTCTGCTAGTGTTACTCCGGCATCTAAAGCTTATTCTACACCAGATGTTCACAAAGGCAGTCTTGTGGGAGAGAAGGGGGATGCAAAGATTGCAGATTCTCTGTCCAATAATCCTAGAGGTCTGGAGATTATCCCATCTTCAGTGGACTCTATGCTCTTTCTCAACGTTGATTTGGGGGAAAGGAAGGAATATCATATGGATATGGAACCTCAAGGGCTAAGGATCTCTCTCAGCCTAGAGCTGCTCAAGGGTAAAGCTAAGGGAGCAGAGATAACTAAACCTGTTTCTACCTGGAGAAGAAAGGATAAAAGTGCTGGTAGATTGTTGAGGTTGTCTGATAACTTGACAGAAACATCTCCAATCTCTGGAAGAGGGAAAGAGGGAGAGGAGGCAGCACCAGATTAAGGGCTCTATAAGAGACCACCACCCTAATATTATATTTTTATCAGAAACTAAGAAGTCATTGGCTTTTACTACTACAGTTTGTAGGAAACTTGGTTTTGACAGTAGATGGTTTTTGGAGAAGCCCATTGAAACTAGAGGAGGTATGTTGGTTATGTGGGATGTGGATACAGAGATCAAACAGATCATAGCTAACGAGTTCTGTGTTCAAGTGGAGGTGAAAGGGCCTGGGATGAGGGAGTGGGGCTGGGTTATTGCTGTCTATATGAGTACAGATAGACATGTGAGATCTAGTCAATGGGAATTTCTGGAGAATAATAAATGCATATGGGGGAGAATTTGGGCTTTGTGTGGTGACTGGAATGATATTACTAGTAATGATGAGAAGAGGGGTGGCCTTAGGAGACATGAAGCTAGTTTCAGTGGTTTCAAAGCTTTCATTGAGAATATGGGGATGTTAGAGGTTGATCAGAAATGAGCTTTCTACACTTGGGGTAATAACAGAGCTGGAGATGGGTACGTTGAAGAAAGGCTTGACAAAGTTTTTATCTCTTATGACTGGTTGGTTGAATTTCCAAAGATGGAGGCATTAAACTTCTACAGGACTGCTTCTGATCACAATGTGATTATTTTTGACACAGAGGTGGAAGTTGTCAGAAGTAAAAAGAGATTTGTGTTTGATAGATCTTGGGTGAAGCATGAAGGCATAAAAAAGGCTGTTAATACTGGTTGGCAAATTTATGTGGAAGGATCTCAAATGTACCAAATCCATCAGAAGATCAAAAGCACTAGGATGGCCCTGTTAGCTTGGCACAAGCCCCTGCACATAAATAGTGAAAAGAAGGTTAGAGCTCTTACTGAGAAAATGGAGAAAATGAGAAGCAATGGCATTGAAAGAGATTGGGAAGAATGGTCAGCCTTGAAGGCTGATCTTGATCATGCTCATAAGGAGGAAGAAAAGTTCTGGAGGCTCAAATCCAGAGCTTTGTGGCTTAAAGAGGGAGATAGAAATTCCCACTTCTTTCATGCTTTCACTGCTCAGAGGAGGAAGTCTAACCACATACACAGACTTATTACAAGCTCAGGGGAGGTCTGTGATTCCAAAGAGACCATTGCTAACCATATGGTCTGTTTCTACTCTAATTTATTCACATCTGAAGGGAGCTCTGAAGATGGAGAGATGCTGCAGTATATTACCAGATCGATATCCGATGACCTGAATTCTCTCCTTGTTAATGCAGTTGAGGAGAAGGAGATTAAAGAGGCTCTTTTCATGATGGAGTCTGACAAGGCGCCCGGGGAGGATGGTATGACTGTTTTATTTTTCAAACATTTCTGGAGTATTATTAAAGAAGATATTTGTTCTGCTGTTAAGAGTTTTTTCTTAAATGGGAAGATGCTCAAGAACTGGAAACATACTGTGATTACTCTGATTCCCAAGTGCTTGTATCCTGAAACCCTGGGTAACTACAGACCTATTTCTCTGTGTAGGGTTTTGTATAAAATTATGGCGAAAATTTTGGCTGAGAGGCTTAAACTGTGTCTTAATTCTTGTATATCTGGTGCTCAGACAGCTTTTGTCCCGGGTAGAAGCCTTCTAGATAATGTTGTTATTGCCCATGAGGTGTTTCATTTCTTGCATAGGCATAGGTCTGGTCCTCATTCTTAAATGGCGGTTAAAATTGACATGGAAAAGGCGTATGACAGGGTAGAATGGAAGTGTATCCAGAAAATTATGTACAAAATGGGCTTCCATGGGAAATTTATTAAATGGATTCTCAGTTGTATCTCCCATCCTACTTTCTCTTTCAACCTTAATGGGGGCAACTGTGGTTTTGTCAAGGCTACTAGAAGGATCAGGCAAGGTGACCCCTTGTCTCCATACTTATTCATAATTGTTTCTGATGTGCTATCTTCTTATATGCATCATAAAGTGAACTCTGGTATTTTCAAGGGCATCAGAATAGCAAAGAGGGCCCCTATGCTGTCTCATCTGCTCTTTGCAGATGATGCACTTGTATTTTGTAAGGCAGATGAGTCTCATGCTGAGTTTCTGTTGGAAATTTTGCTCAAGTATCAAAGCCTTACGGGTCAGAAAGTCAACTTGCACAAATCCTCCATGTTCTTGAGTAAGAACTGCAGTTCTGAGCTGGCTGGGAATATTGGGAATATCTTGAGGGGAGTAGTGATAAAGAGATCTTCCAGGTACCTTGGGCTCCCCCTGGGTATTGGTGCTTCTAAAAAGGATGCTTTTCAATTTGTAGAGGATTCTGTGAGAGTTAGAATTGAGAGTTGGAAGAACAGTTTGCTGTCGACTGCTGGGAAGGAGGTGTTAATTAAATTTGTATTATAAGCACTCCCAGTGTATGTCATGTCATGCTTTATGATTCCTATTGGTCTTTGTAAGAACATATGCAGGTTAATGGCTAGATTCTGGTGGAATAAGAATAGTTCTAATGATCACAGCCTGCACTGGAAAGCATGGGAGAAGATGGCTATTCCAAAATTAGATGGTGGGTTGGGTTTTCTGGATATCAGAACCATGAACAAAGCACTAATCCTTAAGCAACTCTGGAGGCTTATTGACCAGCCTGAGCTACTGGTGTCAAAAGTGTTGAAGGCCAGGTATTTCCCTAACTCTTCTATCTTTGACTGGCAGGTTTCACATGGGAATTCCTGGTTATGGAAATCTTGGTCTTCTGTTCTCCCTGTTCTTAAAGACCATCTGAATATTCTGATTAGAAATGGTGCTGATGTTAAGATTTCTGATCACAAATGGGTCCCTGGAATTATAGGAGGTAAACCCTCTCTTAGGGTGCAGATTGATGGCCAGATGTTTCTTGTTCAGGATTTGATTTTAGCTGGTGGGTGTGGTTGGGATGAAAACCTGGTTAAGGCTTTGTTTTTAGATGAGGATGCTGAGAGTATCTTGCAAATTAATTCTTTAAATCCCAGGTTGGCTGACCAGTGGATTTGTTCTTTTGTTGACAAAGGGAAGTTCTCAGTTAAGAGAACTTATAATTTTCTAGCTGCTGGGTTAGTGAGCTCTACTGAGGGAGCTGAGTGCAGTCTGATGGCAAGAAACAACAAAAAAGCCAGGCTTAGATGCTGGAACTTGAAGGTCATGGGAAAGGTGAAACACTTTATATGGACTTGTTTTTCTAACATTTTGCCAGTAAATGTGAACCTGTCATCCAGGGGGCTTGATATTGATATTATTTGCAAAGTGTGTGGTGAAGCTGAAGAGACCCTAGACCATGTGTTGTTCCAATGTGATAGAGCAGTGAGGGTGTGGCAGATTGCTCTAGTTCAATGGAACAGAGTTAGCCAAGAACAGCTGAGTTTTAAGCATTGGTGGTGGTGGATCAGCTCTATGACTTCCCAAGCTGTTTCAGAAGAGAGAATCCAACTATCCACTTATATTTTATGGTGGTTGTGGAAAGCAAGGAGCATCTGGGTGTTTGAAGGACAAATGCAGCCTGATATTTGGATCATCAAGGCTGCTATGAGAGATTGGGGTGACTTTGCTAATTGTCATTGTAATTCTTAATGTGTGAAGACTAAGGATGAGCTAGGCCTTGGCAGTGGTCAGTCCTTAGGCTTCTGTTTCTTTTTCTTCTTGGGTTTTGTTGTTGTTTTTTCTGTTTGGTTTTTTTGTTAGTTTGGATGTTTGGTTTGTTTGTGTTTTGCTCGGTTAGGCTGCCTTTTGTGCAGAGCGTCTCTTTGTATCCAGGCTGGGGTTTTCCCCTTGTACTTTGCCATTTTATGATTTTTATGAGATAATGTTATGTCGTTGGAAAAAAAAAAAGTTATGCATATGAAAAGCCTTAAGTTACATAACTACTCCCCACACACACCTGTTTGGACGTAGCTCGCCGCTCGCCACCTGGAGAGCTTGTTCTTACCTACTTTACTATTACTAAAACTTAAGTAATTTTTAATTTTGTTAATACTAAGATGTGTTTAATACTTTAAAAAAACATATGAAATTTTTAAAAGTTAAGTTGTTTAGGAATAAATTTAGTGTTGTAATGGTTTTAGAAAATATATTTTTTTTTTAAATTGAGAATCATGTACATTATTACTTAGAATTTTTTATTTTTGCCCTTTTTTATATTATATTTATGTTTAATACATAATAACTTATAAATAAACTGGTTCTAATTAACTCACATAATTTCAAAATTTCAAAACCAACTATCTAAAATTATTATAGGTATGATTAACTATGCCTCTATTTTAAGGGTTTAAA